CGAGTAGGTAGGTGCTTGATCATGAGGATCTACTAGAAGAAAGGGTATGCTTGAAAACATAGTTTTATGCCTAGCTAGGCCTAGCCGCCTAGCGCTCATGCTAGTTCTGCCAGTGTATTCGGAATTGGAGATGAGCACATTAATTATTGTTAGATGAGTAAGGTTTAATCTACTTGCTACACGAATCTCAAAATTAAACTTATTTAATGACTGGTAATATAACGATAATGTTCACCACCAATTAAGAGTAGTGAGCAAAAGTGCTCTCTTTTCCTATAGTAACTAGCTATATATGAGGGATATGGTGTTTATATTCTCTTCCTTGGATAATAATAAAAACTAGAATGGAAACATCATCAAGTGTACCTTTAAAAAAAAATTATTTGGATCTTTGTCGTAGAGCTTCTTTTCTATAGATTAATAATGATTACTTAAAATATTCAATATTATAATTAGATGCATAACTAAAGTGACATACATAAAAGACACATATGACATTGCATAACTTGAGCTCAAGTTTCCGTATATATATATATATATATATATATAGGGAATCCTACTGATCCTAAAATACATAAATAAGTGAAGGAAGCATAAATAGCAATACAAAACTAATCCATAAGAATGGACACACACATATAGATAATGCTAAATGCCTAAAGCTGAGCCAAATTAAGTTTTCAAAAAATATATATATATATTAAAAATGTAATTTTTCGTGTGTCTTCCGATCCTGATCCTATTATATACTGTATGGAAAATGTAATAGACAAATTCTTAACATCATACAAATGAACTTACATACTAATAACACACTATAGGAACCACTAAAAACTAAGTTATTGGTGATTAAAATAATCCCATGAAATAGAAAGATAAGAAATTCAATTACAAACCCTTTAAAGGGACTCATAAGATGACAAAGCTGTCTCTTTTAAGAAGTACAATAATTGTAGGCATTATAAATATTTAAAGTGGCAACAAGTTTTTTATTAGCTAATTAATTTCCTATCCAAGCTAAGTGGAGCAGGTGTTTTTGCATGCGGTTGGATTATATTGTCATGAAGTCCAACAATTGATAAAGATTAAATTTAAAACGTCTCATCACGAAGAATTTTCAGATTTCAGAGAAACAAACGTATCAGTGATCTGCTATTATCAATATCGATATTATTATAAATTTAACTACGTGCAAATCCCAACATCGTATGATTTTATCACAACTACAGAATTCAATGATTGAGGGGTTAAAGAGTTAAAATAATAATAATAAATAAATAAATAAATAAAAGCAAGAGCACCTTCATAAGCCAAAATATATCATTTGAGGCCAACAGAGTAACTTGGCCCAGTTTCAAGTGAAAACAGAGTTTTGAAAACAACATCCATGATTCTCTCTCATGTAAAGGAAGTGCATTATAAGAGAGATGGCATTTGAACGATGAGGCCAGCTTTTGCTTCTACCTGGTTGCAGGTATCTGACACCACCAGCTCATCATCTTGGTCATGTAAGATTATGATGTGGTCCAAATGGCCCTAGCTACTGATTTTCCCATAAGCTTTTTGACCCTCTAAAAGCGGCAACAGGAGTTGCGGTATTTTGGCTCAATCTCCCTCAAATAAACCAAGCAAGGCACACAAATCAACAGTGTAAAGCTGAAGCAGGGTCCAACAACAACTACGGTACAACCGTACACGGCAAATCATCTTTTTCTGTAATGTCTTTGGTTGTAAAGAAAATAGTGTTTGCACGTATTATATATATATATATATATATATATATATGTTGTTGAGGAAATTACATACTTATATTTTCTTCCAAGAATCACGTAGATAATTAGGTTGAGACCTGGATTTCTCGCTCTTTGTAAGGAGATTCAAGCCCACTGTTGTTTGGCAGTGCCCATGAACCAATGCAGCAGTATATCTTTTGAGTTGTCCCGTCCAGGTACAACAACCCAACTGAATCGTTGTATGATTCAAACCTATTTGCACAAAATGATGAGTCCAAAGCTCCACCGTCAAAAAATAAAAATGAAAAATTCGAGAGGAATGAGAAAGAAGAGATGATAAGGGATGATTGAAATGGTGAGAAGAGAGGTACTATTTATAGACTCATAGGATCACCCTTAAATTAATAGGGTGGACAAACCAACTGGTGAAGAATATAAGTTCCACATAAGAACCTTGACTAAATAAAATAAAATATATAATGAATTGTTTCATTACTAATAACACCGAGACCTTTTGTGATAAAATCCCACACTTACTGGGTTTTTTAGGTGGTTAAGTTGAGAGCAATATCGGTGTTGCTAGTAATGGATCGCTAGCCCGTCTCTGTGAAATTTAATATGGTATCAGAACCAGGGGAAAACTAAAAAGAAATAATGAAAATGATAATTTGAAGCAAAGAAGGGGAAAACTCTTTCATCCTCGTCTATCCCAAGCTTCCGTAGGCCTTTGTCATTAAATTCTAACTGTGATGTCCCCAAGTGCACTGTAAGACTCAAATTCTAACCGTCATGTGTGTAACTCGACTACTATTAAAGTTATGGATGTTACAAATAAATTAACTGTGTGTATTTGCTTGCCAAGTTGATTTCTGTGTATCATATCCAATTAGTGGACAAATTTGAAGAGTGATTTGATGAAATTCAACTGTGCAATAAGAACAAGCATTAGTGAAAATCAACTAAGGGGCACTACATATACACATGATAATGGTGGGCTCCCGTGCTTTATAAGTTCGTCCAAGAATCATTTGGAGCATATTACGTCGACGTAATGCCATGTCAACATCGACTTGAAATAATGTTCTTAGTTCACATGACAATGGCATAGCCCAATCCCATCTCCTAATTTTGCTTAGTTAAAAATGGGGGTCCTATTAATTTCAAATTCTCTTCATACCAAGTCTTCTTCTTTTGACTATCAAATTTCTTACTCCTATTGGCTATTTACTAAGTGAGATCTACGTGTCAATGATGAATTTTTTTTTTTTTTTTTGTTTTTTTTTTTTTTTTTTTTTTTTTTTTCAATTCTCAATACATCTATATCTAATCTAACTAAGGGAAGGGGAATTTCTCACACGCACACAAATGATGTCGTAAGGAATCGAATATAACACCTCTTGTATGAGGCCCTTTTTCACTGGACAATACCCCGTTAACAAATTGTTTTATTTAATTAGTGGCTAGCTATGCCTTGTGTTTGTGACTCTTAATTGTTTTGAGGGAAAACCAATAGAGGATTGGTTTTTTAAACTTCTAGGAAAAGTAAAAACATTATTATTTATGCCAAGTCATTTCCGCCATAGTCAAAAGGTACGCAAGGAACAAGTAAGAGATCACTCTACCCATTTTTGCTTTCTAGATGATAAGAAAGCATCAGAACCCTGAAACAAAATGTGCATGAGGTGGCAGCACTATGGTAAAGTCTTGTCTAGGAGCCTCTAAGATCCTGGTGTCTCATCTTGCTTTCTTTTGGGGTAGCAAGGAAAATCATCAGAGAGCTCAATATTTATCGAGTGGTACGATATCTGAGGTAAACTCCGGCTGTATACAATCAATCACAAACCAACGTGTGGGAAAACAAGACATGTTTTGCACTGTCTTATCTCACTAGCATTTGTTTTATTTTATAGACATATTAACATTGAATTTTCTTACATTTCTAGCAGAAATGAAGATGAATGAAGTTGTACGCAACTTACAAAACCACAATTTGAAAGTACGTAGAATAAATGATAGTAAGAAATTCGTTAATAAATTGGCTTTGCTTGCCTTGCAGGTAATTGATTGTTTGTATTTAGAATTTACTTAGACTTCAAGAAAAAATAGATGGCAAAAGATTTTCATGCTATAAAAAATAAATAGAGCGATCATCTTGGCACTCTGAAAATAATATTAAACCGCCATATGCACTCTTCGTATGTGAGAGTGGTGTAGTAAGTGATTTTTGGAGTGCCAAAATCTATATATCTCCAAAGAAACACACCTCTTCCCAAGAAAAGAATGGTGGAATGATTAAGGCAAGCAACAATGACCAAGCCAGCAAGCTAGAAATCCATTTGATTTGTATTTGTGTTTGTATTCGTAGGGTGGGAAAGGGAGGAGGAAGTGGTCAGATAGATGTGATATATATTTTTGTGGAGGATGAGTCATTAATCAGTAAGGGACTAGTGACCAAAAAAGACAAAAGGGTGCAGAGCACTTTGCTTCCTGATGGGTAGACACATGGCACAAATGGCTAGCCATATAACACGGGTGCACCCAGGCCCATGGCCCAAATATGCCCTACCACCTGTTGTTTTTATCCCACACCCAGGCCCTGCTCACTTGTATCAATTCCCAACAAAGCTCTTCCACTCCCTTTTGCTATAGTTCTATTAGACCCTAGTGCCCGAGAGGAGAGGTAGCAATTTGCTGTCCTTTTCTTTTACTTTGTGTGGCTTTTGCTTTTGTTTGGTTACTGAGAAAATTCCTGAAATTGCAAGGAGGATTTTGAGCCAGTAATTTAGGTTGGTAAGACTTTTACATTTAACATTAAAATAAGTTGTGGCTGTAATTTCTACCAATACCAAATGAGGAGGATTTGAGCCAGTAATTTAGGTTGGTTAGATTTCTACACTTGACTTTTAATTAAGTTTTGTGGCTGTCGTTTATCAACCAATACCAGATAGTCCATACAAGTCAGATTTCCTCAATCCTTCTGGGAAATTTCATTGTGGAAGCTTTCCACCCAACAACATCAACCATGTTAAATTACTCAGCAGTTACCTCTAAAAACAAGACGCCTCTCTCTCTCTCTCTCTCTCTCTCTCTCTCTCTCTCTCTCTTTTAATCCCTTTGTTTTAATTTTTATACAAGCGATACTAAGGAAAGTGGTATTGCTGCTAGAGAGAATAGAACATAAGGTCTCGAATACACGTGTAAATGCTCTTAAACACTTGAGATACACGTCCCTTGTCTACAACACATCTCTCTTTATTTACACAATGATTAACAGTGATTCAACTCCAAGGGTTGGCTATGTATTTGAGCTTTGATGCCACATTGGTGCTGAATTCGAATGCACAAACAAAATAAAAAAAAAAAAAAAAAAAAAATAAAACCAGAGAGATAGAAACTTGAAACCTTACCCCGACATTATTATAAACGAAAGGCCCCAAATTCATGGATAGACGGGATTCAAACTTCAAACTTCTCACAAAAGTTTCATACAAAAAAGGTCTCAAGTTCATGGCATATGGTGGTGTGGTGTCTCCTAAATCAGACCGCTCAAAGAGTACAAGAAAAGCCCAATTGTTATCTCATCCTAAATCAGTCAACTGACAAGTACGAAACCTAATATTGAATTGTTTTGTTCAGGAAAAACAAATTGAGAATGAAATTAAAATAAAATACATCCATACGCAAGAGGAATTGCGTTTAGTCTATTACCCTGTTATTCTCAAACTTTAAACAGAAAAGATTGAAAAGACAACCAATAAAAGTTAAATAGTTCTGTAAAGCATCCTGTTTTTGAAACTAAGACATAAAACACGAAGCAAACAAGAAAATTGAGAACATTGAGAACGAAATCAAATGATTCATTCAAAAGGAATCTCTGATTTTCTTTGTCTAATAAGCAGGGATGACAAACGGTTTGTTTCCAAATTAAAAATGGTTGGCAATCTGACATGGTTGAACTGAACTACAAAAACTTACAAGCATTACACAAACCACCAAGAAATCCACACACTAGTTTTTTTGGTAGAAAGCCTAACAACAGGGATCAAATATAAACACAAAGTATAAAGAATTCTGCATGACAAAACAAGATACAGTGTAAGTACTACCAGTGAAAGTATATCCACTTGCAATTAAGGTTGTCAATACATATCACTACTCATAAATGACATCCAACGTACGCTTGTTTTAGAAAAGCAGTAAATCTAAAGAGCTCAACCTCCATCACAATGAAAACACACTGTAGCCTTAGTTCATGCATTTGCTAGATTGGCCATCATTTTCCCCTGGAATTTGCAAAAGAGATTGTTAGAGAGACAGACAGACAGACAGAGACTGAGAGGCAGAGCGAGAAACAGAGTTTCAATTGACTTACGTGTTCATCATCAGAGTTATGTTGTCTCCTTTTAGAAGAATCCTTCCTGAAATAATTAAAACAAAACAGAAACAATTTAAAGATTGCACAGCCCTAGGGCAGCAGAAGGGCGAAAGACAAGGAGACTCACCCAATGACTTTCTGGTGTTTTTCTTGATGCTGACTTCTTCGGCCTCATCCAGAACCAAATTCATGTACTCATCAAAACCCTATCAAACCCATATCACCACCAATGAGATTAAGACATTATGGTCAGATATATAGACACAATATATACGCTGACATAAATAAGGGGAATAGATAGAGACAGAAAAAGAGAAAGAGAAAGTTGGCATATATCAGAATGCAAATTACATCATTTCTATGTCAGCTTCTGAACTATTTACAAACATTTGTTAAATAAATGGAAGAAATAAAATATCAAACTAGATTATAGCACAAATATGGAATATGGAGATAATCAAGCAGAGCCAACACATCCTCAACCATAAGAAAATTAGGAATAATATGGTTGAGGCCAGTGGGTACAAGGCACCACAAAAGGAAAGATAAAGTGGTGTGTTTGTAAATGCATTGAGAGAAAAAGTTGGACAATATGAAAGCCCTTCATAGAAAGAAAAAAAAACAAAACAAAACCTACAAGTAAATTGAAAAATCCAGGATATCCTGCTGGTTACGTTATTCCTTACATTTTCTACTTCTCTACCTTTTTTCCATCCTCATCAATGACTAACATCTTCATCTAGCTATGTAAACTGAACTTTGAACACATTCATAACATTTAACAATTATATTAGACCCACAAGTTGAAGACAAGTATGATTAGTTTTGTCAATTGGGAGCAATTTAAATTCTTCAATTTTATAATCCATGTGCAACAACTTGTAACAAACAAATGTTGTTAGCATACACCTCTGTCTATTCTATACCTTTCTGCAACCAATTTATCCATTTTAATGAAGTCAAGGCGCCCTTATACAACCCTAAGTGCTGGTAGAGATTCTAGAGAATTGGGCAAAAGGGAAGAAGGAAAGAAGGAAAAGTTCCAAAGCCCTAAACGACATCAAGGCTTTGACATCTATTCCCTATACTAAGCCTCTTATGATCTAGAACCCACCGCTTTGTAGACAATAATTTGATCTTGGGCATGGTTACAAAATTGGAACTGAATCTTCCATGTTTTGACAAAAGTCCCTTTCATATAAGCACTCCATACGAGAACAGCGTAGAGGCATGTTTCAACAGGGGAAACATGTTTTACCAACTGATGAAGACTAACTGTTGGAAGATAAATAGAATATACTGAAAAATTAATAATATCCCTGATCAACAGCTTCCACATCTTTCTTTTGCTTACTTTAGGAGGAAAACTGGTTTTCCACTCAAGTACAATTAATCATTCATAGCAGAAGGTCATACTTCTGAACCCTAATTAGACAAATACAAATGACTCCCAAAAAATCCCTGCGGTATTCTTAAGATCTACCAAATAATTAGTCATTCCACAATGCACCTCCAATTATGTCATTAATATGATGCCTAAAGAACCCCAATTCTTGAACCTACCAGAATAAAAGCTAAAAGCCTAAAACTACAAGCTATCCAATACTGTGTAACCTCCACAACCAACAATGTATAACAGCATCAATCACACAACATAATAGACGATAAGAACAACATGAACTTTTAATCAAAAGCATAAGCCAAAGGGAGAATAAATACATCAGCATTCGGTATCACTCAGTAGAACAGTTAAATTGAGCACTACTTCTATCAAAATTCGTTTAAGCTCAATCATATGCGGAAAGTAGAAATTTAATTCCCAATTTGGTTAGATCACTTAGAAAAAAATTATTATCAATATGAAGAAAAGATAACAAATTTTAAAAATAAAACTCAATTTTTGCTAATAAGCATCTAGCAACATGTACAAAAATAACTCTAAAACCCTAGTGGCCTAATAAAAATTGGTTGGGAAATAAAGGAGAAAACAAACTTACAATGATTCGGCCTTCAATCCTCTGGTCCTTTTGCTCAAAGAGCCAAATCTGAATGCGGGCTTTCTGTAACAAAAATTTTCCAAAAAATTCAAAATTCAAAACCCCAACAATAAAATCACCCGCGATGGGAGCTTTCCGAAACAAACCCAGATGACAAAATCAACCAAATAGAGTGACAAGGATGACTTACACTTTGAAGGAACCTGAAAATCAAGTTCTGCAGCAAAAACACCCAAAGAAAAAAGAAGGAAATTCGTCAGTGAATCATCAAAAAATTGACAAAGACGCTAAACAAAACAAAGACTAGGAAGATGAAGAAGGGCACGTACAATGGGTTGGGTCATAATCCTCTGAACTTTGGTGCTCGCCATGGCTTCGAAATTCAATGGGTTTCGCGTCACAGACGGAAGTTCTAGTCGAAGAGACTTTGAAAACCTAGCGAGCTCAGTGGTTTTTTTTTTCTTTCTATTTGCCGAAATTGAAAGACAAGCCCGCCTTTTTATTTTTATTTTTTGTCAAAAACCGCCTTTTAATTGGCTTCAAGAAAAGAAGAGCTACTTTTTTTTTTTGGAAGAAAAAAAGAAGAGCTACTTAACAAAACAAATAAGGGTTATTTACTCAAATTTATACCCAAGTTGCATTTTGGTCCCTCAAGTAAATTATTCACTCAAATGGTCCCTCAACTCTCTATCATTCAAAAATTGGTCTAGGGAGAAGAGATCAGGAGGAGGGGGCACTGGGTTTGGGTCTAAGGATTTTTTCTTTTTCTTTTTTCGATATTTTCTAATTTTGTATTAATTTTAACCCTATTTTTAGTTTTAAATTATGTAAAGTCATATTTATCTCCTTTGAGCAGGAGCCCAAATTCAAGAAGGAAACCTAGTTACAACTGGACAGCCCAACAGTCAATCCACATTTTCTACATGCCACCACGTGCCATGCAAAAGCTAGGGGGCATTTGTGGAAGCAAAATATCTCAAGTTCTAGGTTAAATAATTAAGCCAATTAATTTGGGAATTATTTGACCTAATTGAGAGTTACCTGATTTCATTGGGATTTGTTTGATTCTTACCTTAATTAGGGATTTGATTTAAATCAAATCCCTAATTACACCAATCTCGCCAAATTAAGGAAGAATAATTCTTTTTTATATGTGGAATTATTCTTCTGAAATCCTAGCCTCTGAGGCCCCTATAAATATATGGCTACGCACAAGAGTTGAGGTCTGTCTAAATTCCTCTATAAAACTTTGCAAAAATTCCCTCTCACAAACCCTAGCCGTCATAATTCTCTCTCTCTCACACACGGCTATGGCCACCCAGTTTACACCATACATATATTTTTGTACCTTTTTTAGCTATTGTTTTCTCTACGAATCAATTGAACTAACTTAGGCATCAGAGGGCTTTTGGCCAACACCCCTCGGGTGTGGTCCTCTCATTCCGATTTATTTTGCAGAGAGAAAGAGACGACAAAGAGGAAGGAGGGATCTTAGACAAATATTCCCGTGGGACGAAAATTGCTCCCATAGTAGTAACCGCTTTAATATCCTCATCTCAAAATATTTGATCAAGCAAAAGACATTCCATTCACCAGTTGGGGTTAACAAATCTGAAACTTTTGCATTCATCGACAAGCCTTCATTGATCATTGGTTTAAAGTAAAAGGCTTTGGCACCCATCGATCTCGAAAAAACTCAATAGATTGCTCACTTCCAACCCTCCATACCAAGCCTTCCTCAAGCACTTCACTTTCTGATGGGGATCGGGATCAGGACACAGGTCACCAACCACATACACGAATATTGAAATCTAGGGTTAGTGCAAACTCACATATATCGTAGAAAATCCATGCCACAAATAAACTATTTCATTAATCATCAATATTCAATTCCCCTACAACTATTACATTAGCCTTATTTATAGGCTTTACAAGACTTGGGCACCAAGACTGCTTGGTCCAAAAGTAAACTAATTAATTATAAAATCACACATAAATAATAAAAGATATCCTAAAACTACCTAAATAAGAAAATAACAATATATCAAGAAATAACTAATTAAATGGTAAATATCTATCTTGATCCACCCCTATGCTCCTGCATCAGGCTCCCCTGGTTGGAAAGAATTCATCCTCGAATTCAAGCCCTTGATTGAGGAAAATCCAAATAGAATCTTCAATTGCTTCATATTAATTCTGGATCTTTTAGCATCCAATTTAAACCTTCATTTCCAAATAAAAAGATATTTGGAATATTTCGTTATTCTTGGCTTCTTCTTACTCCTTCTAACAATGCAAATGTTTCTCTCTAGAATTTTCAACCAATTGACAAAATCAACTAGAGTTTTGGCAACCTTCCAAGTGAAAACATTAATGCCCATAAAATCAATAATATCTTCGAAAGTTTTCTCAATTCTCATCTCTTCACTGTTCTGATCAATAAATTGCTTATCAAAATTGCTTTGAACACCCAAACAATTTTCATTGCAATTTTCACAGTTGCAAGGATCAAATATTGGAGGCAAATCCAAATTTAATAACTTTGATGAATAACAAGATGCACCAAAATTGCCAAATCTATTTATACCTTCAAAGACACAATGAGAATAACCGTGCCCCTCTTCACTTGACTCACACAGCGAAGCGCAATAATGAAAAGGGCTATCCCCCTCATACTCCTTGTCGAGACTCCCACGGCTTAGAGTGTCGATGCGAGCTACTCGGTTCAGATAAGGCTTCACACATCCCTCCCCGTCAGAACTCTTACCTATCTGGGTTCGAACTTCAATGCGAGCGATGCGTTCCGTAAGTTGCCGTAGCGTCCTCATAATTTCCTTCATGTCGTTGTAGTTGTTAACACGACCCTCCATCCAAAAACCTCCCCAAGAAAGCAGATCTTGAGCCATAGCTCTGATACCAATTGATGGAGATCGGGGATCGGGACACAGGTCACCAACCACATACACGAGCACCGAAATTTAGGGTTAGTGCAAACTCACATATATCGTAGCAAATCCATGCCACAAATAAACTATTTCATACCAGAGAGAAAATTCCCCAATCCATGCAAGAAATCTGTTTCGGGGATATATCTGCCTTTCAGTATTGGGGCTACCAAAGAATTAGGATTTTTCAAATATTCCTGCATCGCCACCATGGCTTTGATAAAGGCTTTAAATTTTTTGAAACCCAACCCGCCAAAACATTTAGTCCTACATTGTTTTCTCCAACTTTTCCAGTGTATGCTTTTATTTCCTGCTTTAACCCACCAAAATCTCGCAACCGTGGCCGATAAATCATGGCATAAGGATTGCGGCGGCAATTGAAAGACCCCCATAGTATAGGTGGGAAGAGCTTGGGCAACAGCTCTAATCAAAACATCCTTCCCTGCTACCGAAAGCAATTTTGCATTCCTCACATTAAGTCGACTCCAAAGCATATCACGCACATGCTTAAGCATCTGATTTTTGCTGCTCCTTGCAATTGTTGGCAAGCCAAGATAGCGCTCATGACAGTCCACAATGCGCACTCCAAGCATGGAGGAAATTAAGGCATACGATAAAGTGGAATGGATTTTTCTAGAAGGTAGGCTTAAACGATTGGGCTTTGATTGTAGATGGGTGAGCTTGATCATGGATTTCATAACTACATTGACGTACTCTGTAAAAATCCAGGGGTCACGAACTGGTTTGATATTCCTACTAGGGGCTCCGTAAGGGGGACCCCTTGTCACCTTACCTATTTCTCATTTGTGCAGAAGGCTTATGTGCTCTCCTCACTCATGCTCAAAGACATAAAACACATTAATGAGATTAGTGTTGCACATGGAGCACCCACTCTATCACATCTAGATTTTGCAGACAATAGCCTTTTATTTTGTAATGCGCATCCATCTGATTGTCATATAGAACACAAAGTTCAATACATTCTAGACTTATAATACAAGAAATGTCGTAGGCTTTCAATAGAAAATCCTAAAGCTTAGAGCCATTTTTTTTTTTTTTTTTTTTATTCCTGGAGAGACTTACTTGATCAAACATTGATGAAACAGTTTTTTGTTTGTTTTTGCTGCTTATTATATTATTCAGTCAACTATTACAAATTAATCAATTGATAAACTTACTTATTTACAAAGAATTAGTGCACGATTACATTAGTCAATTCATGACCAGTTTGGTTCGCTTGTCATAATCTTGACATGAACAAAGTATTCTGGTTCCTTTTACTCGGTCAAAACTTTGAACAAAATCCTATTTGAAAGAATCATCATCTTGAAAGTTTATTTATGACAAATTTCGTTGAGTTCATATGAAAATTAATTTATTTATAAAGAGGGGAGGATTCAGCTTGGGCACAGAAGCCAGGTGTGACTTCCACATATTATTTTATCTTTTCCTTTTCATGTCATGTTTAGATAATGAAAGCTTAAGTGACAAGTTTCCAAACCTTAATATTATCTTTTGCTTGGCGGGATACGTAGTTAAATTTTAAAGCTTTTATCTTAGTCAAGGATACTAACACGTATACATGTTTATAAACACTTGTTTTGATTACAACATGTTGCTTCTAGGTCAAGCTTAATAAACGGTCAAGCTCAATAAGAGGGATTCATTTTGATGAGGGTGGAAAAGAATCGCATTGTTTGGAATTAATTTCGAAAAGTGGTTCAAGATCCGAACTATCTAATTTGAGATCCGAGTTATTATTTTACTTGTAATATAGAATTAATCAATAGACTTGGGACATTTTATATGAATGAATTCCATTCTCATTAAGGTGATCAAATTAAACTTGATGATTATTATGATGATTTTCATGTCGATCGTGATGTTTCCGGCTTTTTGATATATAAAACAGATCGTGATCTTGTGTGTGTTTTGAAACTAGGAAAAGGGTGTTTTTGTCATCCTTGAAAAGTACTCAGAAGGATGCAAATTGACTTGCCTCGAGTTATCCTTTTTTTTTTTTGGTAACTGAATAATTCCATTAGGCACCCGCCAGGGAAAAGGGACCCAAACCAGAAAAAGAGCAGCAAGAAAAAACAATAAAGGAGCCAAAAACAAAAGCTCCAAAGAGCCAACCAAGAGCAACTAGCCAAAAGGCCAAAGACAGAGCCACAAAAACAGAATTAGATCATAGCCACATCAAGAATATTAAAATTGTCTCGAGTTATCAAGTGATGCAAATTGACTTGACTCGAGTTATCAAGTGATGCAAATTGAATCAACATTTATGAGTGTTGACCAAATATATATGTTTGCCCATTTTCTCAAACTCCTATTAAGGATGAGCTTGGAACACAAATCGTCCATAAGATTTATAGCTAAAAAGAACAGGCAAAACGAAAGAGAAAAACAGTAATTTAAAGATACGTGAGAGTGCATGAGACAAATCTAGGTAGCTTAACAATGATGACAAACCAGAAGCACCTTCTATCTTTCTTCTTCATTCTTTTGTTGGCCGGGCTTGGGAGTATCCAGCTTTCAATGGCGAAGGAGGTGATGCGAATACCAGTTGGGGTAGTTCTTGACTTGAATTCCTCTGTTGGAGCGATTGCAGAGAGCTGTATGACCATGGCACTCTCAGATTTTTATGCTAAGCATGCCCATTATCGAACAAGGCTTGATCTTCGCACCCGCGATTCAGCGGATGATATTGTTACTGCAGCATCTGAAGGTGGATTAGACACTACCTTCTTTCCAGCTATATAGTTTTGGCCACACACATACACTCAGCCTTTCGATCCTAGCTAATTAATTTAATCATTCACCATTTGTCCGTTGTATTCATGCAGCCTGGTATATGATGAAGAAAGAAAAAGTGCAGGCCATCATTGGACCTCAAAGGTCAGCAGAAGCAAAGTTTGTGATGGAGCTTGGCAGAAAGGCTAAGGTTCCCATCATTTCATTCTCTGCCACCACTCCCTCTCTTTCTCCATCTCGGAGCCCATTTTTTGTCCGGACGGCCTTCGATGACTCTGCTCAAGTAAAAGCCATAGCTGCCGTCATTGAAGCTTATAGCTGGTTGGAAGTTGTTCTCGTCTATGAAGACACCGATTATGGCAATGATTTAATTCCATATCTGGTGGACGCTATACAGGAGGTTGGTGCTCGAGTACCTTACAGAAGTGTCATTCCTCCATCTTCTAATGACGCTGAAATTCTAAGGGAGCTTCGCAGGTTAAACTCAAATTCAACTAGAATATTTCTGGTGCATATGACTGCCTCCCTTGGGTCCAAATTCTTTATACTAGCAAATAAGGCAGGTATGATGAGTGAAGGGTATGCATGGATTGTCACCGAAGGGTTATCAACTTTTTTAGATCCTGTGAATTCGACAACCATGGATTCAATGGAAGGTGTGTTGGGAGTAAGGCCATATATCCCAATGACAAAAGATCTTGAAGACTTTCAGTCAAGATGGAAACAACCAAACAAGATGACAGCAGGTCTAAACCTCTTTGGATTATGGGCATATGATACAGTTTGGGCACTTGCAATGGCGGTGGAGAAAGTGGGAACAACAAGTTCTAGCTCTATGAAGCATAACACAAGTAGAGTCGTTAATCTTGCAAGCTTGGAAACCAGTAACATGGGTAAAGATCTTCTTGAAACAATCCCAAGTTCAAAATTTCAAAGCCTAAGTGGGAATTTCCAGTTGGTCAAGAGACAGTTAGAACCTTCAACCTTTGAGATATTCAATGTGATTGGCAATAAAGAAAGGATTATTGGATATTGGATTGACCAAAAAAAGGGGCTGTCAAGGCAGCTCAAGTATGACAATAGTGAAGCAGAAAAATCTGATGTGAAGAGAAGACTCAAGCAAACAATTTGGCCAGGGGACACCACAGTCCAACCTGCAACAAAGAAACTGAGGATTGGAGTTCCAATGAAAGAAGGTTTTAATGAATTTCTAAAACTGGAAAACAAAAGCATATCGGGATTTGCTGCTGCTGTCTTCTTTGCTGCACTGGCTAAACTACCATTTCCACTTCCCCATGACTTCTTTTCCTTCAACGGGACATATGATGATGTTCTTTGCCAAATCAAAGAAGGGGTAAGTTTTATTTTACGGGGTAAATTAATGGTCATCCTCTCTTTCTCCCTATCTCCTTCTCTAATGTACTTTTCAATTGGTGATTTAAAATGCAGAAGTATGATGCTGTGGTGGCAGATACAACAATTGTAGCTAACCGCTCATTGTACGTAGATTTTACATTGCCCTATTCAGAGTCAGGAATGTCAATGGTAGTTTTGGTGGAAAATAATGAAAGAGACAATATTTGGATTTTCTTGAAGCCGTTAAGTTTGGATCTTTGGCTGACAACTGGGGCAGCCTTCATATTTACAGGTTTTGTGATATGGGTTCTTGAACACCGGGTAAACTCTGAGTTTAGAGGTCCACCACAACAACAACTTGGAGTGATATTTTGGTTCTCCTTTTCAACTCTTGTCTTTGCTCATAGTAAGTTCTCTTCTCCTTATACCAAAGCATTTGTTTTCTTCAAAATTCTCAATGAAGCATGTAGTCTAATTAATAATGCTTTTGTAATGCTATAGGGGAGAAAGTGGTGAACAATTGGTCAAGATTAGTGCTCATCATTTGGGTTTTTGTGGTTCTTATCCTGACACAGAGTTACACTGCAAGTTTAGCCTCAATGTTAACAGTGCAGAGATTGCAGCCTGTATTTACTGATATAAGAGAGATCAAAAGGAATGGTTATAATATTGGATATCAAAAGAATTCATTTATTAAAGGGTTTCTAATGGAGAATTTAAGGTTTGAAGAGTCCAAATTGAAAGCTTATGTAACCACTGAGGAGTATAACCATGCACTATCCAAAGGAACAAACAATGGTGGAGTCGCGGCAATTTTCGATGAAATCCCTTACCTTAAACTGTTCATTGCAAAGAATTGTTCCAAGTACACCATGGTTGGACCAACCTACAAAACTGACGGATTCGGCTTTGTGAGTTCTCTGTCTTAATTTTCTTTGATTGTATTGTTATCCATAAAAACCAGAGTGTAAAATGCCGCAACAATGGTTCCATTTCCTATATCCATATGCTAATTTTTTTTTTGCCTTCTAATACATCAGGCCTTCCCAAGAGGGTCTCCTCTAGTCTCCTACATGTCAAGGGCAATCTTGAATGTCACTCAAGAAAAATCTAAGATGGATTCAATTGAGGAGGAGTACTTTGGAAATAACCAAACCATCTGTGATGATCAAAGTGCCAAAATTTCTTCAGACGGTCGAAGCCTTCACGTGTACAGCTTCGGGGGACTCTTCATCATCACAGGTGTAGTCTCCACGTTTTCACTTTTGATGTACGTGTACCGTTTCCTTTGCTCACAATGGCCTACTTTGAGGACCACGATTCATTCTGAGAACTCATTTCGGTGCAAAATGGTTGAATTGGCAAAGCATTTTGACAAGAAAGATCTCACTTCGCATCCTTTTACGCAAAGAACATCCAGAGTACATGCTATGGATACTCCTGATGAGACAGCTATAGGAGGTTTACATGATGCAAATGATATGCAACACAACTCAGCTGTGGAGAACAATATTGATGTGAATGAAAATCAATCAAATGGTGGAAATCTCTTATCAGGGCATACTGATTCATCTATCCATGTACCTAACTTGTCATCATAGGCTTCCTATATATTTCCATTTTAAACCTCTAAGTTACAGTAAAACTATATGTGTAAACGTCATGATATATTGTTGTTCATTCATATATCTCACATCACTACTTTATTATTTATGTACAGAAATCTAAATACCCAAAATAATTAGAATTATCTCCAAATGAAATGCTGAAAGGTCAACAATCACTGAGCCTCCATTGTTCGTCCCTCCTGAAGGTTTCTAGGTAATGTCCAAACAAAACAAAACAAAACAAACCCTTCTCAATCAGTACAACTATTAAGTCTAGCAGCACTAGATAAGGTTTCGAATCTAAATTCATGGATGGGATTTTGTATATATTTGGAATATGTATAGAGCTTCATTTGTAAATTTCTTATCAATCCGAAGTCAAGTCAACTGAAAACTTGCAGCGAACTTGGTTGTGAGTTAATAGCCTAGCTAGAGCCCACTTGGTTGTAAGTTAATAGCCTAGAAGCTTCTTAATTCAATTCATAATACATCTTCAATTTGTTTCTAAGGAAGTCAGCAGAGGAAAAAGTTTCGTCGTTATTTGGAATCGCAGCACGATTTGTTTTGGTAATTTAATTTCAGGTTTGTGTTCGATGATTTGATTGAAGAATTTGATGTTGGTTTAGAGACGACTTAAGATCGTCCACTCTACAGTAGTTGTGCGGTAACCATTTTCCTGAATGAGTCCAAAAAAGAATCGCCAAATTCCTTGGCAGGTCCAGAATTTCTTAATGAAGAAGATATCTTCATCTGTGTCGTCTTCCATGCAAACACAGATATCTTTGGTCGCCTTGTGTGCCGTGTGGAAAGTACGTACTCAAGATGTTGAAAATTCACACACACAACAAAAAAGTGAGAAATATTACACCAAGGCATATGCATATTTGCATATTTGTTGGGAAAAAAAAAGCAGATTAGCCTAGTAATTTAAGGATGATTAACTATCTGTTACAAATAAATTAGGTTCAAAGTGAGGCCTTTTAAATAATTGGGACATAATTTGGTGAATAAAATACACTATACATGCTATACCAACATGGACATGATTCTTATAAACTAATTTACTTATGTGCAATTAAATACATACAACTTTGAGAATGCCAAACCAGAAAATTAAACTCCAATAATGTACGTACTGATAAAGTGTCTAATGAAAGTTGCAATTGATTATATTTATACTGATTTTGGTGAAGTCGTACACATCATGACGGTAATGTTGTTGATATTTATAGATGAACTGATTTCACTTTGTATTCTGTAAGGGTCCTTATGGTGTAATTAACCAGATGACTGCAAAATAAAACCAAGGAAAAATAGCTATATCTCAAACTAACCACACGATTGAATAATTGTGATTGATATTATATTTCTCCAAGAGGAGGAGATATATACAAGTACAAGTTAACTTTTCCTACAAGGAAAAGTAATTAGCTAATTACAAGGAATCCTAACTAGGAAATTATTCTAATTAGGAAAGAATCATTCTTTGACTTGGAAACACGTCAGCCAACTTGCATGCACGTTTTGGGGTCTTTTCACTTCCTAAAAACTTCTGGAAAACAAAAGAAGACAAATGTAGCTTGATCTCTAAGCTTTCCAAGCATATATCACCCACCACTAGGAAAAATCGGAAAAGTCTTCAAATCATCAATCTTCCACAACAGTGCAGTTCTGACGGGATTTCAAACTTAGGCTGTCTTGACTTGCAGGTCTGGAGCATTTGGCTTGGTAGAAAATTATGAAACTTTGACACAATAATCTTCAATGTCTTAGCTTTCTTCTCCATTTGGCCTTGCACTAAAATTCATTTGAAAAGTCGATTTTCAGTCAGCCCTTCCAAGAGCGCAGAATTGCTAAAAATAAGGAAAGGTAATAATGCTATTTTTAATTAACTTTCCCTACAAAAAACCAAATATAAGAGATACACAAATATAGGAAATAATGCACTTATCAATAAGAAACTAAAATCCTAACTGAATATGAACTCACCAACAGTTACTACTAGGTCAAGCTCAATAAGAGGGATTCATTTTGGTGAGGGTGGAAAAGAATTGCATTGTTTGGAGTTTCAAAAAGTGGTTCAATGACCTGAAATATCTAATTTGAGATCCGATTTATTATTTTACTTGTAATATAGAATTAATCAACAGACTCAGGACATTTTCTAATAAATAGTTCATTGTATAAAATAAAAAAATTTGTTTATATATGTAAGTATGACCTTCAATTGCAAGAGTCCTTAAACAAGTTTATTTGAGGGACAACCTTGTCAAGCTCACCTGCATTGTATTTCAATTATTCGAACTGTCTATTTTTTAAAATTCCAACATTCATTTCTTTGGTTGATTTTTTCTTTTCTTGGGAAGTTTGTTTCTCGTGTAATTTTATATGAATGAATTTCTTACACATTGAGGCAATCAAATTAAACTTCATGATGATTATGATGGTTTTAATGTCGATAGTGATGCTTCTGGCTTTTTGATATATAAATAGATCGTGATCTTGTTTGTGTCTTGAAACCTCCAGTCTCAAGGGAAAGGGTGTTTTAAATCATCCTTGAAAAGTATGGTCCATATACAATTTTTTTAGATTTTAAATATGAAACTATTTTTTAAAATAATTTTTATTTAGATCCACGTGTCATTATCTCATTGGATATGTAAGTACTGCGTACGTGCCATGTCATCATTTTAACATAAATTTTGACGGAACCTAACGGCAGGACCAAATTGATGTGCGAGGAGTAACATAAAGGACCAATAATGTCACAAAAAAATAATGGACCAATAATGTCACCAAAAAATACAAGACCAAAGCTAATAATTTCACGAATCTCAAGAATCATTTGTGATAAAAAGCCACGATAATTTTATAGTACTTTGGAATGTCAAGATACAATTTTTGTTTGTTTTTGCTGCTTATTATATTATTCAGTCAACCAGTACAAATTAATCAATTGATAAACTTATTTGTCATTTGCACTTATTTATAAAGAAGGGTAAATTACTCAAATGGTCCTCAAATTTGTACTCGATTTACATTTTGGTCCATAAACTAAATTATTTGTTCAAATGGTCCATCAACTTTTTATTAATCGGCGCTTTGGTCCTACCGTTACATTTTCTGTTAAATTTAGTCATGTGAGTAGCACATACTGTTGGAGTGACTTATGGATATTGATTTACTTTCCTTACACACCAAAAATTCTTATTATAATTGTAATTGATTTACTTTAATTCATGATTTCCTACTGTAAATAGATTTAGGAATTTATTATTTACTTGCCCATTCATGTTTCGTTGTATTATAAATATGACCTCATAGAAGGAGAAGAATACACAAAATTCCCACAAACAAATATTCTCTCATAGTTTTCATATTTTAACATGGTATCAGAGCGGCGATCTTGGAATTGCTGACAGTTTCAAACCCCCGCCGCCACTATGGAAGTTGATGATTTTTTCAATCCTCATGGAGGTAGCACCACCGACTCCTTCTCTCCTTCTCAACCAACCATAGCTGAGTTGAGTGCCCAGATGACTCAGCTCCTACAGATGCAGACTTTGGCCCCGAATCTGATCCTGAATCAGAATCCTATTTTGATGACCCCGAACCCGATCTGGAATCAGGATCCTATTTTGACAACCCCGAACCCGACCCCGACTATGATGACGACAACCTCGACCTCGACTCCGAAGATGACCCCGACCCCCACTCCGATGATGACCCCGACCTCGAATTGGTCTCTAATTCAAACCCCGACCCCGATTTCGACTCCGACTCCGGCCCCGACTCAGGCTCAGATCCCGATCCGAATTCCTACTCAACCTGTATCCTATGCATCTTCTGCTACACAGATTATGACTTCTTGACTAACGACCCCGACACATGGACCAAATTGCGCATATTGTGGTGATCCGAGACACACTCGTGATACTTGTTTTAAATTGCATGGCTACCCCGATTCGTGGGCTACTCTTAAAGATCGAAGACAATGCAATATGACCAGTAATGGTATTGGTTATGGATTCCATACTTCCGATGCGATTGATTCCAGGAGCTGGATAGTTGATTCCGGTGCAACTGATCATATGACGTTTGATCCTAATGATTTTCTGAATACTACACAACCTCGACGAACCTGTATTGCAAATGCCAATGATGTTACTTATCCTGTGACGGGGGCTGGCACTGTTGCACTCTCATCCTCTCTCACACTGTCTAATACTTTACTTGTTCCATCTTTATCCACTAAATTGTTGTCAGTTAGTCAGCTTACTGAACAATTGAATTGTTGTGTACTCATTTACCCGAGTTTTTATTTGCTTCAAGATATTCACACCAAGGAGATTCTTGGTCGTGGTACTAAGAGAGGGGGGTTATATTATGTCGATGACTTCAGTCCCGGCGTGGCTAACAGTGTGACGCATCCCTTTGATAGCAAACCAAAGAAAATATGGTTGTGGCACCGTCGATTCCGACATCCGTCTTTTAGTTATATGAAGCATCTTATACCAGATTTATTCTCAGGTTTCAAGGACTCTGACTTCACATGTGATACTTGTATTTTGGCCAAGAGTCACCATGTGCCCTACTCGTTGAGTACGAACAAGTGTACTACTCCATTTACGTTAATTCACTCTGATGTCTGAGGACCTTCCCCTATCACTGCTCTTTCTGGTGTTCGATGGTTTGTCACATTGATAGATGATTGTACACGAATGACATGGCTTTATTTGCTAAAGAATAAAAACGAAGTGTTTTTCCGTTTTCAGTACTTCCACAAACAGATGAAAACTCAGTTTAATACTCAAATCCAGATTCTTTGCTCAGAAAATGGTGGAGAATTTGTCAATCATGACTTTCAGACTTACTTCCAACAACATGGAATTATCCATGAGACAACTTGTCCTCAAACACCGCAACAAAATGGTGTTGCTGAACGAAAGAATTGACATCTTCTTGAAACCGCCCGAGCACTTCTGATTGGCCCTCATGTTCGTCGCCATCACTGGGATGATGCTATTGTCACCGCAGTTAACCTGATCAACCGCATGCCTTCTGGTGTATTGACCTTTAAAACTCCCTTACAGGTGCCTGCGCAATACAGACCTCTGCCCTCTGTTTTGGTACTCACGCTCCGAATCTTTGGATGTGTGGCTTTCATTCATCTCCACAAAAATCAACATAGCAAACTTGATCCCCGTGCGCTGCGTTGTGTTTTTGTGGGTTATGCCACTCATCAGAAAGGCTACTGCTGTTATCACCCTCATACCCGACGTACCTATGTCACTTTGGATGTGACCTTTCTGGAATATGAGTTGTTCTTCCATGACCCATTATCCAATTCTACGCTTCAGGGGGAGATACGAAGTAAAGAGCAGAATTAGAGCAACTTGGAAAACGAAGAAATTCTCCTCTGTACAGAAATGATCTATCGTCCCGAGTCTGGAGTATGAGATTACTCTCTGCCGAAAAGCGATCAATCGCCCATTCATAGCGATCAAATGCCTGACCCACTTGATCCATGTGAAGATATTTCTGATCCAAGTCTCACACCTACAGACAATACAGAACAACAAGATGAAGACCCCCTTCTAACTTAACTGTACCAACATACCAATCTCTTGAGAATATCCTTGAGGTAATTACTCCTACTAGACTTGTGCACTTAGAGGATAAAACTATTGGATATCAATTACCTTTCAGGCAAAATCGTGGGAAGCCACCAAACCGTTATTCACCTGATATTGGCAAGACATCCAAGTATCCAATTGCAAATCATGTATCCACTAAGAAGCTGTCAAACCACTCAAGGCTTTTGTGCACCAGTTGTCTGCTATCCATATTCCAACCAAGATCTCTAAAGCATTGAAAGATCCTAAGTGGGTCTAAGCTATAAAAGAGGAGATGAAAGCTCTTGAGAAAAATCAAACTTGGACATTGGAGACTATACCACGAGGAAAAAAGACTATCGGATGTAGATGAGTGTTTACTATAAAACACAATACAGATGGATCTATTGAGCGATACAAGGCAAGACTTGTGGTAAAAGGGTACACATAGACCTATGGTATAGACTATGAAGAAACATTTGCTCCAGTTGCAAGGTTAAACGCCGTCAGAGTCTTATTGTCCCTTGCAGCTAATTTGGATTGGCCACTACACCAGTTTGATGTAAAGAATGCTTTTCTATATGGCGAACTCACGGAGGAGGTGTACATGGACATCCCTCCTATATATAATACTACTCATACTGGAACAATTTGCAGGTTACGAAAAGCATTGTATGGATTGAAACAGTCACCACATGCATGGTTTGGACAGTTCACCATGGCAATGAAGAATAATGGTTTCAAACAGTGCAACTCAGATCATACTCTGTTCTTGAAACATCGGAAAGGGAAGGTAACAACATTAATAATCTATGTTGATGATATGATTATTATTGAGAATGATAAACAGGAAATATCACAGCTACAAGACTATTTGGCTATGGAGTTTGAGATGAAGGATCCAGGTGGACTCAAGTATTTCTTGGGAATTGAGGTGGCTCGATCGCAGCAAGGCATATTTCTCTCTCAAAGGAAATATGTCTTGGACTTGTTGACAGACACATGAATGCTAGATTGCAAACCTGCGAACACTCCTATTATTCAGAATCATCATCTTGGAGAATATCCAGATCAAGTTCCAACTAACAAAGAAAGATACCAAAGGTTAGTGAAAAGATTGATCTATTTGTCACATACTCGACCATACATTGCTTATGCGGTGAGCATTGTCAGTCAATTTATGCACTCTCCAAGTGAAGACCACATGAATGCAATTCTTCGGATACTTAGATATTTTAAGTCTGCACCTGGAAAAGGACTTATGTTCTCAAAGCATGGTCATCTAAATATTGATGGTTATTCAGATGCAAATTGGGCAGGTAATGTAACAGATAGAAAATCCACATCGGGTTACTTCACATTTGTGGGAGGTAATTTGGTGACATGGAGGAGTAAGAAACAGAATGTAATAGCTTTATCCAATGCAGAAGCCGAGTTCAGAGGCATGACTAAAGGGATTTGTGAACTTCTTTGGTTAAGAAAGTTGCTTACTGAACTTGGGTATAAGCCTACATCTACAATGAATCTCTTTTGTGACAACAAGGCTGCTATAGCCATTGCACAGAATCCGGTTCAGCATGATCGTACTAAACATGTTGAGGTGGATCGACACTTCATCAAACAGAAGCTTGAGGCTAAAGTGTTTCAGTTTCCATTTGTGAAATCCGAGGATCAATTGGCGGATATTTTGACAAAGGCGATTTCCAGTAAAGCATTCCACAATTCACTGAATCAGTTAGGCATTGGCGACAACTATGCACCAATGTGAGGGGGAGTGTTGGCGTGACTTGTGGATATTGACTTACTTTCCTTACACACCAAGAATTCCTATTATAATTGTAATTGATTTACTTTAATTCCTGATTTCCTACTGTAAATAGATTTAGGAATTTATTATTTACTTGCCCATTTAGGTTTCGTTGTATTATAAATATGACCTCCTACAAGGAGAAAAATACACAGAAATTTCCCACAAACAAATATTCTCTCATAGTTTTCATATTTTAACACATACTACATTTGTGGGGGTAAATAAGACTTTTGACCTATGTATCACCATTTTATCACCATTGTATCACCACTTTATCATCACTTTGTAACCTATGTATCACCACTTTATCACCATTTTATCACCTATGTATCCACTGGCGGACCCAATACATGCCTACTGTGGGCAGCTGCCCACACTTAAGTGTTTTCTTCACCCATCTAGCCAAACACTTTGCCAATAAAACCAAGACACTTGGCTAATATTTTGCATGCAAAATCCCCACTCAGCACCCCAAATAAGTAAAGCCTTCAAGATTTTAGCCCAAAACCTCTCCTATATTGAAAATATCAAGGCCCAAGACTTAATGAAGATGTGGTCCAATATTTTATAGCCTTAGATTTTGGCCCAAAATCATATATTAAAAAATTATTGAAATAGATTATGTGTTATAATATATATCGTATTGCTATGAAACCTTAGACTTTGTAGGTGTCAGCTATGAAATTATTTTTTATGCCCCCAGATGGACAAAAGTCTTGGTCCGCCACTGTATGTGTCATCACTTTATCACCTATTTGGGGAACATAGGACAGTTATGGATGGTTTTACCCTTACATTTGACGGCAACATTAACATAATGTAACGATAAGATCAACAGAGCAATTAATATAGAGTTGACGGACATTTGAACAAATAATTTAATTGAGGGACCAAAATATAAATCGGGTATAACTTTGAGTACCATTTGAGTAATTTACCCAAAAATTAGTGCACGATTGCATTACATTAGTCAATTCATGTTCAGTTTGTCATCATTGTTAAGCTACCTGGGTTTGTCAAAACTAGGAACGGGTGTTTTCTCATCCTTGAATAGTACTCAGAAGGAGACTATTGACTTGTCTCGAGTTATCAATATGCGATGCAAATTGAATCAACATTTATGAGTGTTGACCAAATGCTTGCCCATTTTCTCAGACTCCTATTAAGGATGAGCTTGGAACACAAATCGTACATAAGGTTTAAAGCTAAAAAGAGTAGGCAAAACGAAAGAGAAAAACAGTAATTTAAATATACGAGAGAGTGCTTGTGACAAACCCAGGTAGCTTAACAATGATGACAAACCAGAAGGACATTCTATCTTTCTTCTTCATTCTTTCGTTGGCCGGGCTTGGGAGTATCCAGCTTTCAATGGCGAAGGAGGTGATACGAATACCAGTTGGGGTAGTTCTTGACTTGAATTCGTCTGTTGGAGCGACTGCAGAGAGCTGTATGACCATGGCACTCTCAGATTTTTATGCTAAGCATGCTCATTATCGAACAAGGCTTGATCTTCGCACCCGCGATTCAGCGGATGATATTGTTACTGCAGCATCTGAAGGTGGATTATACACTACCTTCTTTCCAGCAAATTATTTTTCACCACACACACACACTCAGCCTTTCGATCTTAGATAATTAATTTTATTCATTCACCATTTGTCTGTTGAATTCATGCAGCCTGGTATATGATGAAGAAAGAAAAAGTGCAGGCCATCATTGGACCTCAAAGGTCAGCAGAAGCGAAGTTTGTGATGGAGCTTGGCAGAAAGGCTAAGGTTCCCATCATTTCATTCTCTGCCACCAGTCCCTCTCTTTCTCCATCTCGTAGCCCATTTTTTGTCCGGACGGCCTTCGATGACTCTGCTCAAGTAAAAGCCATAGCTGCCGTCATTGAAGCTTATAGCTGGTTGGAAGTTGTTCTCGTCTATGAAGACACCGATTATGGCAATGATTTAATTCCATATCTGGTGGACGCTATACAGGAGGTTGGTGCTCGAGTACCTTACAGAAGTGTCATTCCTCCATCTTCTAATGATGCTGAAATTCTAAGGGAGCTTCACAGGTTAAACTCAAATTCAACTAGAATATTTCTGGTGCATATGACTGCCTCCATTGGGTCCAGATTTTTTATACTAGCAAACAAGGCAGGTATGATGAGTGAAGGGTATGCATGGATTGTCACCGATGGGTTATCAACTTTTTTAGATCCTGTGAATTCGACAACCATGGATTCAATGGAAGGTGTGTTGGGAGTAAGGCCATATATCCCAATGACAAAAGATCTTGAAGACTTTCAGTCAAGATGGAAACAACCAAACAAGATGACAGCAGGCCTAAACCTCTTTGGATTATGGGCATATGATACAGTTTGGGCACTTGCAATGGCGGTGGAGAAAGTGGGAACAAGTTCTAGCTCTATGAAGCATAACACAAGTAGAGTCGTTAATCTTGCAAGCTTGGAAACCAGTAACATGGGTAAAGATCTTCTTGAAACAATCCCAAGTTCAAAATTTCAAAGCCTAACTGGGAATTTCCAGTTGGTCAAGGGACAGTTAGAACCTTCAACCTTTGAGATATTCAATGTGATTGGCAATAAAGAAAGGATTATTGGATATTGGATTGACAAACAAAAAGGGCTGTCAAGGCAGCTCAAGTATGACAATAGTGAAGCAGAAAAATCTGATGTAAAGAGAAGACTCAAGCAACCAATTTGGCCAGGGGACACTACAGACCAACCTGCAACAAAGAAACTGAGGATTGGAGTTCCAATTAAAGAAGGTTTTAATGAATTCCTAAAAATGGAAAACAAAAGTATATCGGGATTTGCTGCTGATGTCTTCTTTGCTGCACTGGCTAAACTACCATTTCCGCTTCCCCATGACTTCTTAAGCTTCAACGGGACATATGATGATGTTCTTTGCCAAATCAAAGAAGGGGTAAGTTTTATTTTACGGGGTAAATTAATGGTCATCCTCTCTTTCTCCCTATCTCCTTCTCTAATGTACTTTTCAATTGGTGATTTAAAATGCAGAAGTATGATGCTGTGGTGGCAGATACAACAATTGTAGCTAACCGCTCATTGTATGTAGATTTTACATTGCCCTATTCAGAGTCAGGAGTGTCAATGGTAGTTTTGGTGGAAAATAATGAAAGAGACAATATTTGGATTTTCTTGAAGCCGTTAAGTTTGGATCTTTGGCTGACAACTGGGGCAGCCTTCATATTTACAGGTTTTGTGATATGGGTTCTTGAACACCGGGTAAACTCTGAGTTTAGAGGTCCACCACAACAACAACTTGGCGTGATATTGTCGTTCTCCTTTTCAACTCTTGTCTTTGCTCATAGTAAGTTCTCTTCTCCTTGCACCAAAGCATTTGTTTTCTTCAAAATTCTCAATGAAGCTTGTGGTCTAATTAATAATGCTTTTGTAATGCTATAGGGGAGAAAGTGGTGAACAATTTGTCAAGATTAGTGCTAGTCATTTGGGTTTTTGTGGTTCTTATCCTGACACAGAGTTACACTGCAAGTTTAGCCTCAATGTTAACAGTGCAGAGATTGCAGCCTGTATTTACTGATATAAAAGAGATCAAAAGGAATGGTTATAATATAGGATATCAAAAGAATTCATTTATTAAAGGGTTTCTAATGGAGAATTTAAGGTTTGAAGAGTCCAAGTTGAAAGCTTATGTAACCGTTGAGGACTATAACCTTGCACTATCCAAAGGAACCAACAATGGTGGAGTTGCTGCAATTTTCGATGAAATCCCTTACCTTAAACTCTTCATTGCAAAGAATTGTTCCAAGTACACCATGGTTGGACCAACCTACAAAACTGACGGATTCGGCTTTGTGAGTTCTCTGTCTTAATTTTCTTTGATTGTATTGTTATCCATAAAAACCAGAGTGTACAATACTGCAAACAATGGTTCCATTTCCTATATCCCTGTGCTAAATTGTTTTTTTGCCTTCTAATACATCAGGCCTTCCCAAGAGGGTCTCCTCTAGTCTCTTACATGTCAAGGGCAATCTTGAATGTCACTCAAGATAAATCTAAGATGGATTCAATTGAGGAGAAGTACTTCGGAAACCAAACCATCTGTGATGATCAAAGTGCCAAAATTTCTTCAGACGGTCGAAGCCTTCATGTGTACAGCTTCGGGGGACTCTTCATCATCGCAGGTGTAGTCTCCATGTTTTCACTTTTGATGTACATGTACCGTTTCCTTTGCTCACAATGGCCTACTTTGAGGACCACGATTCATTCTGAGAACTCATTTCGGTGCAAAATGGTTGAATTGGCAAAGCATTTTGACAAGAAAGATCTCACTTCGCATCCTTTTACGCAAAGAACATCCAGAGTACATGCTGTGGATACTCCTGATGAGACAGCTATAGGAGGTTTACATGATGCAAATGATATGCAACACAACTCAGCAGTGGAGAACATTATTGATGTGAATGAAAATCAATCAAATGGTGGAAATCTCTTATCAGGGCATACTGATTCATCTATCCATGTACCTAACTTGTCATCATAGGCTTCCTATATTTCCATTTTAAACCTCTAAGTTACAGTAAAACTGTATGTGTAAACGTGATGATATATTGTTGTTCATTCATATGTCTCACATCATTACTTTATTATTTACGTACGGAAATCTAAGAAATACCCACAAGAATGCAATTTTTGTCTTCGAATGAAAATTTTCCCAAAATAATTAGAATGATCTCGGAATGAAATGCTGAAAGATCCATATGTACAGAGCTTCATTTGTAAATTTCTTATCGATCCGAAGTCAAGTCAACTGAAAACTTGCAACGAACTTGGTTGTGAGTTAATAGCCCAGAAGCTTCTTAATTCAATTCATATTTTATATATATATATATATATATATATATTTATATATCTTTATCATTTTGTTTCTAAGGAAGTCAGCAGAGGCAAAAGTTTCGTTGTT